GTATTAGATTAGTTCTCAAACTCTGCTTCATAATAGAACCCAAGAGATCTTGTAAAATTTCTGATGCCAGAACTTTTTAAAACTTCCCAGGTGATTTCAAAATGAAGCCAAGTTCAAGAACAGTGGATTAACCCCATCTTTGCATGTTGATTTCCTTGAATGATTCAGTCTCATTAGAAATCAATACACACTGATAAATCACTGCTATAAAGTCCAGTCGTTGGTTTCTCTGGGATCAGCTCCACTCTTGACATAAATCAGCAATGTTTTGGGCAAAAGCAGTTGCCAAACAGGCCATTTCCATCTTGTCCTTCAATATAGCTTTAGGTACTGACTGGCTTGGATTAAGGAAACTGGCAACGAAGTCAGGGGAGTCTCAGGAAAACAGCTGCCATGCTGTGCATTGCCCCAGGGAAGAGATCAACCCTCCGTTTCTGGGAATGCTGAGTCACAAACCACATGTCATCAGTCTTACCAACCGCTTAGATCCATTTCCCTCCAGGTGAAACTGAGTCACTTTTCCAGACCCATGACAGCATTTGGAGATTGTGGAAAGAAGAGATGTGTTACCAAGGCAGGGATAAGGAAAGCTTATCTCAATTTATTCAATATGCATGCCTCTGGGTACAATTAGTTCAGAAAACCATTAAATTATTCAGGCCTCAGTCTAGATAAGGACCTTTACCTCATAAAACATTCATGTAGGTTTAAAGGAAGCACTGGTTTGTTTCCAATAGAGATCAACTCGTAAACCCCAACCCTACCTTGAAATTAAGAAGAAGCACCATGTAACTGAGCAAGTATGTTGAGCCAAAAGGACCTGGTGGGAGAATTTATTTATCACTCTCAGTCTTCTGATAGTTTCAAAGACATTTGCATCCATAGCACTGTTCCAAGTTTCTTGATATATCTCTGCACCAGAGCGTCAATCCTATACTTCACTGCCTTCACTATTCTGGCAGCTTGGAATCATCTCCAGTACCACGCTAATGTTGCTACCATTAATCCTCATTGCAACATCACAAAATGGCAGCTTTCTTTTTCATACTATCTTAAAATATAATTCCATATCAAGAATGTGAAGAGCTGTATTTGAGTGTAGCCTAAATTTAGCTAAATAACTGTTAGTTGTTCACATATTGTTTCTGAGTCTCACTGTCCTCATCTGTAAAATGGAGTAATTCGGATTCAGTAAGTTCTTGGGAGTTCTCAATGTCACATTAAAGACACTTTCTAAACTATAAAACTATTATAAATGAAATTATTATTATTATTATTATTATTATTATTATTATTATCCAGAAATGCAGGATGCTTAAGGAGTTTTTCTCTTCATTTGGAATATCTTCCTCTCATCTTGGGTCCTAAAGAGGTCAGGAGTGTCAGGATTTGAAACAGAATGCCTCCTTGTGCTTGGACCTCTGTGACCCTTTTTGTGTGTGTGTCAGGTGAAGTTAGTAAGATGTGGTACCAGAACTTCAGAAGTCAGAAGATCTGTGATTTATTCTCCTTGCTATTAGTAATTTAAGTTCCCTGAATTCCTATTTTCTCACCTGTGAAAATGGGGACTAAAGGCTCTCTCTGGAAGGCTTGTTTTGGGGCTTACATGGGAAAATGAATGCAGAAGTGCTCATACATGTATATTTTAAACTATAGATACCTTAGATTATGATGCAATGTAATGAATGGGTCTTAAACATTATGATGCTGGTTAAGATACTCAGACAAATCTCTGGGATGATCATTTCACCTATTTGGGTATGAGTGATTACACTGAACTTTTAGGATCCAGATATGGCCTTTGGGTCATTCCAAGCTCACCTTCATAGTGATTCACAACCATACCTGTCACTGCCCAGGGGTCTGGGTTTCTACTTCACCCTTTGCTTCACAGAAACATTCATCATTTTCCATCTTCCCTCTTAATCTTTTCTTCCCTGACTTTAATTTTGTTCCCTAAAAGTAATTTTTAACACAAGGTTTTGTCTTTAACCCTTCTTTTTGTCTCCTTCCACATTTTGTTTATTAGGGAAATTTATCCAGTTTCATACTTTTGCCTAACATGCATTTATTAGGATTATAATATTTTTCTCCTCTGCATTGTCCCTGAAAAAACCTAGTTCATGTCTCCACCACCTCTTCCCCAGATTGCTGCAGAAGGACATCATCGGATGTCCTCGTCATGTAACATGATTCCTTGGTTCCAGAGTCTTTTCATCCTATTCATCCTGCTCAGATGCTGTCAGAGCACTGTTCTTAAAGTTCACCTCTGATAAATGTGTTCCATCCATTTCCTGTTACGTTTTCCTCTTGCTAATCTCCAAGCCCCTACTCACCATCTTCTCACCTTGAAGTCTTCTCTCGACCGCTGCAAAATAAATCTTGCCTTTTATCTCGAATAAGACTCAATTGAATTGTTTCCCTTCTCCAAGATTCCTTCTAGATTCCTCTTACTTGAAAAGAATCTTAGTCTCATTAAACTCTCAAGGGTTAACCAATTTTAGGCTTTCTTGACTATATTTTAGCCCTCAAGATCATGTCTTATGCAGCTCTGATTCCCTTTGGCATTTTAGTTGTCCACAGAATGTTAACCAGATGACACTTAATTCAGTGGAAACTGAGTGAAGTTTGATGTAACATGATTCCCAGCACACAGAGATATTCTCGGCATGTTTTATTCTCTTTATCTAATTGCTCTTTATCTACCTCCACTGTTTACCCAGAAGCCACATCCTATAACCTGCTGCTCTTTCATGGATTCCATAATATAAGATGATGGTATTGATCATTAGCTTTAATATCTGCATAAGACACTCATTCCAGTCAGAAAAATGCAACCCCTTATGTTACAAAAATAACATAGATAATTTTTGGATGGTTGAGGGTAATTTTTATTTTATACATAAAGATTTCCAAGAAGGAATTTTTAACTTATGATTTATAACTTTTTATTTTTCTTTTACATTTCTTGTTGCATTTGTCAGAGTAAAATTACTACCCTGCGCTGTGTTAGCCTTTTAAAAAAATTACTAGATTTTATTTTTTTGAGTAGTTTTAAGTTTACAGAAACATTGAGTGGAAAATACAGAATCCTCATGTGCCCCCTCACTTCCCACCCCTGGGTGTCCTCTATTATTAGCATCTTACTTTAGTGTGGTACATTTATTAAAACTGATGTACCTACACTGCATTATTATTAACTAAATAGTTACATTAGAGTTTGCATTATAGTCCACTCTTTGTGTTGTATGTTCTGTGGGAGTTGACAGGTTATAATGACATGTATCCACCATTAAGGTATCAAACAGAATAGTTTCACTGTTCTAAAACACCCCTGTGCTCCATCTATTCATCCCTCCACTGCCCCAACAAGCTCTTAGTAACCCCTGACCTTCTACTGTCTGTATACTTTTGCCTTTTCCAGAACGTCACATAACTAGAATCATACAATATGCAGCCTTTTCATATTGGCTTCTTCCACCTTGGCAAGTGCGCTTAAGATTCCACCGCATCTTTTCATGGCTTGCTAGCTCATTTCCTTTTAGCGCTGAGGAATATTCCATTGTCTGGATATATCAGTTTATTGATTCATTCACTTTACTGAAAGACATCTTGGCTGCTTCCAAGTCTTGGCAATTATAAACAAAACGACTATAAACATTTGTGTGCAAATGTTTGTGTGAATATAAGTTTTCCAGTTATTTGAGTAAATGCCAAAGAGTGTGACTGCCAGATCATATGGTAAACTAAATATTTAGTTTTGTAAGACTGCCAAACTATTCCAAAGTGGCTGTATCATTTTCCATTCCCAACAGTAATGAATGAGAGTTCCTGTTGCTCCATAACCTTGTCAGCATTAACGTTGTCAGTGTTTCACATTTTAGCCATTCTAGTAGGTGCGTAGTGGTTTCTCATCATTGTTTTAATTTATAATTCCTTAATGACATATGATGTTTAGAATCTTGTCCTATGAGTATGTGCCATCTGTAAGGTGACTGTTCATATGTTTTGCCCATTATTTAATTGAGTTGTCTATGTTCCTACTGTTTCATTTGAATAATTCTTTGTATATTTTGAATATCAGACATTTTTTAGATATGTCTTTTGCAAATATTTTCTTCAAGAGTGTGGCTTGTCGATTTATTTTCTGAACAGCGTGTTCTGCAGAGCAGTTTTTTAATTTTAGTGAAATCTACCATATCAACTTTTTCTTTCATGAATGTGCTTTTTTGTGTGTGTTTATCTAAAAAGTAATTGCCAAAACCAAGGCAACTGAGGCTTTCTTCTGTGTTATCTTCTAGGAGTTTTATAGTTTTTGTGCGTTATATGTATAAAATAAAATACGTTATTTTCCAGGAGTTTGCATTGAGGTCTATGATCTCTGCTGAATTAGTTTTTGTGAAAGATGTGAGGTCTGTGTCTATATTATTTTTTTTTATATGTGGTTGTACAATTACTCTTGCACCATTTGTTGGAAAGACTGTCTTTCACATTGTAGTGCCTGAATCCTTTCTCAAAGATGTACTGACTATATTTGTGTGGGTCCATTTCTGGGCTCTTTATTCTGTTACACTGATCTACTTGTCCATCCTTTTGCCAATACCACACTGTCTTGACTACTGTAGCTTTAGAGTAAGTCTTGAAGTCAGGTTGTATGTCCCCTCCAACTTTGTCTTAAATATTGTGTTGGTTACTCTGGGTCTTTTGCCTTTCCATGTAAACTTTAGAGTCATCTTGTCAGTATCCACAAAATAACTTGTTGGGATTTTGGTTGGAATTGCATTGAATCTATAGATCAATTTGGAAAGAAGTGGCATGTTGACAATATTTAGTCTTCCTGTTCACATACATGGAATATCTCTTCATTTCTGTATTTTTTCAAATTCTTTTCATCAGAGTTTGGTAGTTTTATATATACATATATGTATATATGTATATGTTTATATTATTTTTGCTGCTTATGTGAATGGTACTGTGTTTTTTGCATTTCCAATTGTTCATTGTTCTTATAGATAGGTTTTTTGGTTTTCGGGTTTTTTTTTTTTTTGACTCTTAGGGATTTTCTGCATAGATAATCATGTCATCATGAAAAAATAATAGTTTATTTCTTTCTTCCCTATCTGTATAACTCTTATTTCCTTTTCTTGTTTTAGTGCATTAACTAGAATTTACACTACAATGTTGAATAGGAATTGAATCTTGTCCTATTCCTGATCTTAGTAGAAAGTATCTAGTTTTTCATCATCAAGTATAATGTTAACGCCAGGTTTCTTATAAATGTTCTTTATCAAGTTAAGGAAGTTCCCTTCCATCCCTAGTTTGCTGATAGTTTTTATCATGAATGAATATTGGATTTTGTCAATTTTTTTATCTATTGATATAATCATATAGTTTTTCTTCTTTAGCCGGTTGATATGATGGATTATATGAATTACTATTTTGAATGTTGAACCAGCCTTGCATACCTAGAACACATCCCACTTGATCAAGGTGTATACTTTCCATTATACATTGTTAGATTTGATTTGCTAATATTTTCTTGATTTTTGCACCTTTTTTCATGAATGATAACAACCATTTGATACATGAATTTGAAAAAGCAGTTGTAACCACAGCATGAAATTATTTCAAGTGATTTGCAACTCATTGTGGATATATTTATCCACTAGCCTGTGAACAACCCAGGAACACTAATTTTCACATTTGTTTTTGTATTATCCTAGAACACAGCTAAGTATGTGGCATACAGTAAAACACTGACAAATGTTCATTCATTAAATTGATCAACTGAATGATTAATAATGTTAAAATTAAGTAAGCACATTTAGACCCTACTCTTTGCCTGGAATTGGGTTAATGGGCACACAAAGGTGAATTAATCTGGACTCTGTCCTTATATGAGTCACAGTAACTTAGAATTGTTATAAACATGATAACTACTCCAAATTCAGAGCACCATTCAATGTAAAAAATGGGCCAAACAATAAAAGCCTGTGTTTGAAAATTACTTCTCTATAGTAAAGCAAAGTTTCCAGTAGATTTTCTGGGTATTGAAATAGCACAAATTATAAGTAAAACATCTATCTACTGTGCAAACAATAGGGTTAAAAAATATAGTTTGTAGGGACAGTGGATGTGGGATTTTCCTTATTTCCTTATTCCTTTAATCACTCAATTTAATTTAATTCTTTCCTTCCCAGTCACTCCCCTTCACCACTAACACTTATCTGAACTCCAGAGTAAACAGTGAAATGGATACTTAGAGCATGAGTAAAGCAGTGGTACAAGTGTTTGCAGTAACAAAGGTAAGACACATGTCTCTTATTGGCTTTTCTATTCAAGGGCAACACAGAACTTTGTCATAGGAATCTGAAGAATAGAGGCAGAAAGAAAGTATTTAAGAAAGAAAAGAATATTTGGTGGAATTAGTTGTCTCTAAAGATATTCCTTCATTCATGACATGATTTACTGAACAAATGTTTACCAAGTTCTTATTATGCGGTGGGCCGTATGCTAAGTACATCGGAGATGAATACACTGTGGTCTCCAGGCCTTCAAGGAACACTCAGTCAATGGAGAAAGATAAGGTATAAGGTATGCACATAGATAAGTCTAGCACTGTCTAGCTTAATGTAGGTGCTCTTTCAATAATTATTTGTTGAGCATCCATCACTTGCCAGATACCATTCTCTGTACTTGGGGTACAGCCCTGAACCAAACAGACTAAAGTCCCTGCCTCCAAGTTACTTGTATTATAACAGGAGAAGAATTTAATGGTATTGAAAGAGAGAAGCTACAAGAACCCTAATGAACAATCCAGGTGAAAAGTTACTAGCATCCTATGGAATGAGAGAGTGGTTCCATCAGATCGGGGAGAGTCAGGGAAAGGGAGCATAAATTATAGTCTCATTTTGTTTCATTTTCTTTTCTTTTTTGGAGATTCAAAAGAAATGCAGTTCAAGCAGAAAAGAGCAGGTGAGTCACAGTCTCCAGTGAGCCAGGTGTGTGTGTGTGTGTGTGTGTGTGTGTGTGTGTGTACTGGCTACTCAAGCACTTTGTTGTGCTGGGTGAGTAGAACGTGTGGCTGGGATATTAAGACATACAGTTGGAGAATTAGATGAGAGTCTAGGAACTTTAAGTGCATGGCTGTGTAGCTCAGATTTTGTCTTCAAGGCAGAAGAAAACTATTGATTTTAAAATTGAAAGATGTTGTTCTCAAAGTGATGTTTTCAGAAAGATGGATGTGGTAGATTCACTGAGGACTAGAGAAAGGAGTTGGAAGTAAAGGCATCTCTATGTTAGTTTAAAACAGTGAATAAATGTGCATGTGGACCAGTTCTAGTCTAAGACAGAAGCTGAAGTTTGTCTCTGTGAACTAGGCATCAAGTGTGTGATCTTGGGGAAGATCACCAAGATATTGGAGCAGAATATTCTAGAAAGGCATAGATGCTCTCTCAATGTCTACACTGAGATTTACAAAGTTTCTGTGAAGATTCTGTTTCATCTATGAAAAAATATAATAGACATTTAGGAGTATGATTTTAACATTCCCATCATCTGCTGAGTCATGGGTGACCATGCTTAGAACAGGGTGTTAATATGATGACTCTACCTCCTTCCTCAAGGAAGGGCATTCTGGTCTTCCAAGCATCTAGTGCCTTTTTGTCTCAGCAGTGTTCCTGCATCTTATTTCTTATCACTTTAAGCTGAAAAAATAAGAAAGAAGCAGGAGGAGTGAACAGAAGACACCACAGCTTTACTCATGATGGTTATCAATTCAAAGGAGAGGGAGAGAAGTGAGGAACATCAATGGAATGGAGACAATACAGACAAGGCAATGACATGCACATAACTGTCTCCAGAGATGCCAAACAGGAAAGTTTACATTTCCTTACACACGCAAGGCCAGGGCAAGTTGGGAAATAAGAAAAATAAAAACAAAAGATAAAACACAAGGAGTGACAGCATTTAAAACTATATACACACAGATGGCTGTTGGGCCATTCCCAGCCATTCTAGTGCAAAACTATAGCACATAATTAAGCTGGTGAGTGGAGTGGAGGACTCACACAGAGCCAGCCTCACCTGGGCCTCTGGCTGCTTCTTAGAGCATCCTTGTCATTCTTCAAGACTCAACTCAGATTTAACTCCTTTGTGGAGCTTTCGCTTCCCCTCTTAGCCTAAAGCTGCTCTGGACTTTGTAATTCCATAGTCTCTTGTATATATTTCATGTATAAAAGTTATAAGCATCTAATATTTTCTAATCTATCCTTCCCTCTAACTAGACCTGAGGGCCAGGGCTATCTGATTCATCTTTGTTTTCCCCATAGCAGATGACACAGCCCTTGATCCAGGAGCAGACAATACACCATAAGAAAATAAACAAATGGGCAAATGAGTTGGTTTTGGCCTCTTCCCTTCTCCCCCTGACACTGCAGGTGTAACTAGTACTTTAGGAACCTGTCACCCCCATGCACTAGCCTCGTGGCTGGCCCTGTGGGAATTTGCCTGGCCTTTGCCATGTAGGTCATCTCTTTTTTGGCTGGAGAGTGATCAGACTGGGTGTTGGAAGTCAGCTCCACCACTGAGTCATGGTGCCGCTGGGCGCTGAGGTTCCACTCCGTGTGAAAGGTTTCTCTGCCGCATTCTTGCAAGATGAGTTTTCTAATTAGCGTGCCCTTATAAGGTGCCAGAGGGGATGGTTGGTCAGCATTGGGGCGCATGGATGGGGAAATACTGGCCAAGAGATTGCTTTAGGCTTTTGGGTGGTTGAAGCCTTCCAGTTAACATTTGGTGAGAACATAATGACTCAGTGGTCTCTTCCCCATCCCAGACTTCCTCACCCATCATCTCTCTTCATTTTGCTGGGCCTGGACCGCAAATGTATGAAATAGTGATATGATTTTAGAACTGAGCATCTAACTACATTCAGCACTGAAGCCAGAAAGGGCAGGCTTGAGTAACTTTGTCTCTAAATGGCTACAAGAGGAAACAATGCCTCACTGAGTACCCTTTGAATGTAGGGCCTTAGTTTGAGGCTATGCCTCAGGAGAAAGGTGCTGCAAGACCTAGGAACTTACAGAGTATTGAGAGACTGAGAATAACTGAACAGCAGGGACACAAATGTATTATGCCTTGTGACTGCACGAAAGACTTGGATACTGCTGCATACAGCCTTATGAAATGTATAATTTTAAAAAATACGTCTCTTGAAGATAAAATTAATAAATTGTTCTGTATTTAAAAATGGGAAAATATAAGAGAAAAAAACATATGTTTACTTACAATCCTACTGTTAGTTTTTGGTATTTCTCTTTTATTTTTAGGGATTTTTAGCACGGTTCCTCATATCATAAGAAAGGTATAATTATGATCGTCATTTGACAAATGAGGAACTAAGATTGCAAAGTGGCTGGAAGACTAGATTAGGAATGGAAAGACTCAGTTGTCTGATCATTTACTATGCAATCTTGGCTACATCTTAAAATTTCTCCTAATCCTTAATTTCCACGCCCCTCAGAGAAAGAGAACTCAGAGCCAATGTCCTTACAAACTGAAAGACCTGAGAGGAAAGTTGATCTTTAAATTCTAAGCATCAGAGTGATGACAAGTTCATGTACATATAATAGGCAAAGACATGAGTTAAATTAACCCTTAACTTCAGACATCCTGCCATGATTCTTATGAATTAAGTGACTGTCTTAGCAATTAATTATTTATCTTATCCATATCCTTTTCATTTTGTCCAAATTTTCAGGTTGCTGAAGTCTAAGAAGGGAAGGGGATAAACCAGCCCAAAAGATAATGAGATGGGGGGGGGGGAATCAGCTGTCATTTCAATGCAGGAAATCACCAGGGAGCGAACCATAGCATCAGCCAGCCCTACACTAGTAATTAGCTGTGGCCTAAAAAGCAGGTTTCTGCATTCAAAATGATCTCACGTCTTATGAGCCAAACATAGGTGTTCTGTGCGGCTCACACTCTCTCCTGCGATGCCCAGACATCATGACAAGGAACTCCACCTGAGATAGACACAGGTTGAAGCAGATGGGGAACTGCCCTCCCTGGGTCACAGAAATGGCACCCGCCCTCTGTACACACATCGCCAGACTGGGAACACTGCTGGGCCAGGATAAGAAAAGGATTCCGGGTTTTCATTTTCACATTGCTGGTCCGTAATCTCTTGAATTTTTTTTTTTTACCATGCCTTTATTTTGATTAGATGTTGCCTTTTATTTAAAAGAAAACTTTGAGTCTGAGGTCCAAGGGACCAGGACAGGATGTGGAAGAAAAAGGCCAGCACTGGCAGCATTGGTTTGGTCCTGGGCTCTGGGCTCTGGGCTCTGGGCTCTAGGCTCAGGGAGAGAGAGGATCCTTCTATCCGCTACTTGCTGTAACACCAAGTGTCAGGTGGAAAACAACATGGTCTCAGGGCAGAGGTCCCATTCAGGAATGAACACCAGGCATTGGCTAGAACGTTCCTCATGTTGTATCACATGGTGGATTGGCAGCAAAAGGCAGAGAACGTCTCAGGTATATAATTTACAGAAATACCCAAACACGGTTGCTTAAATTAAACTCCAGTGAGTAATGGTGACGACAGTGGGGGTGGTAGTAATTCCTGCTGTGCAGTGTGTTCTGTGTGCCACGTGACATGATCCCTCTACAGCCTTGTAAGTTAGGTATTATTTATTCCACTGCACAGATGAGAAAGATAATGTTCATCCAGAAAGTAAACAACTCTTTTAAGATCCCCCAGCTAGTTAATAACTGGGCCAGAGGGTGGGGTTTTCACAGCCGGTGAACTTCACTGCTTGCTAGCCCCAGTCTTGTGGGAGAGCCTTGGGTTTGGTCCATTATCACTGCCGCAGCCCCTCAGCAGAGAATGCAGGAAGCCGAGGCTGGGTTCTCCGGAAACTTCTGCACCTAAAGCGTTAGGGCTACTGATCTCAAAAGCCCTCAGCAGTGGATCCAGCTTCTTAGGTGGTAGGGCCTGATGGAGTCTTGCAGCCAAGACTGCAGCCTGGAGGGGCGGGTCAGCCCTCGTGAATTTCACAGTATTTCCTAAGGTAAGAAAAGAATGATTTCCTGAAGGAAGGAAGGCAGAGGGGTAGGACGTGAGGATGATGGGGAGAAGGGCTTCAGTGGGGCCTGGGACGGCTGTAGGAGGCCCAGAGCTATTTCCTGTCTCTGTCAGAGCAGATCACACCCTCACATCTCCCCTCAGCCCCAGGCAAGTACTGTTTTTTTAAATTTAGGAAAGAGATTATCTTTAGACAAAAGTGGCACCGATATCCTGCCACCCTGATGAAAAGCCCGGGAAGCCAACGCCTCTCAGGGAGATGGCCCCAGTCTCCACTTTGAAGCTGCCGCTAAGCCTGTTTGCTTTGGGAGCTCCAGTAAGATCTGCACTCGCTGCCCTCAGGCTGGCCCAGTGAGGCTGCTCCCACAGGGAACAGGGCCGGCTTCCCAGGTGAGCAACCACGACAGTTACATCAAGCCACTTAGCAGCAGCGCCCACCTTGTGCCAGCGGGCTCACCTGCAGTCTTACCCCTGTCTGGAAAAGGGCCCCCGGGCCTTGGAGGGCAAGCTGGTGAATGGAGAGGCTGAATATTTAGCAATGACCTCCTCTCAGAACCCCTTGTCTTGGAGATGAGCGGGACCCCTGGAAAAAGACCAGTCTGCTGCACCGTCATCTTCTAGGCATCCTGCAGGTCACACGGGTTTCAGATTCTTCCACCGGGTAGGAACACAGTCCTCCCTCAGCACCTAGCGAATGAGCAGAGGGGCAGCGTCATCAGATCTGGCCTTCAGTGATGAGGCTGTGTTGGCCCTGCCTCTCACAGAGCCCAGACTAAGGACAGGGCCCTCTCTGCGGAAGGAGGAATGGGGGCAAGGCAATGGGACAAGCGTTTTCCTTGGCTCTGCACTCCCGCCTTCCACCTTCATGGAGAATCACAAGTATGGGTTCAATGGCCAAGCCTAATCACGTGAGCTTCTTACCTTAAGTAAGTTGCTCAAATTCTCTGTGCTTTGGTTTTTTATTTACTAAAACTATGACTGTACAGACTCTAGGGATGGAGAACAAACCAGTGATGGGCAGGGAGCCGGGGTAGGGAGGGAATGACTACAAAGGCCAGCAGGTGGGCGAAGGGACAGTTCTGTGTCAGGACTGTCGTGACTTTATGCATTTGGCAAAGCTCACTGAAAAGGCTGTGTAAATTTAAAAATAAATACATTTTAAAAGTGTGATTAAAATATTTCAAAGCTCAGTTATAAGGGTAAAGATGATAAAAAGTTTGCAAGAACACAGCACAAAGAATGGCTCATCCATGTCTTAAACATAGGTCAAGGGGTTTTCTTTTCCTTTCTTTTTGAGTTTATTTTATCCATAAAATGGGAATAAACAAAATATTACTTCTTATAAGTCAGACAGAGAAAGACAAATATCATATGATATCATCTACATGTGGAATCTTAAAAAAAATACGAATTTTATTTACCAGCCAGAAATAAACTCACGGACATAGAAAATAAACTAGGTTATCAAAGGGGAAAGCAGGGGGGAGGGATAGATTAGGAGTTGGAATTAACAGATACATATTACTATATATAAAGTAGATACACAACAAGGACCTACTGCAGAGCACAGGGAACTATATTCAGTTTCTTGTAATAAGATATAATGGAAAAGAATATGAAAATATATGTATATATATATGTGTATATATATGTATAATTGAATTGCTTTGCTGTAAACCTGAAACTAACATTGTAAATCAACTATACTTCAATAAAGAATAAATTTTTTTTAAAAAAGAAAGAGAATATTACTTCTTAGAAGCATTAAAGTCTTATCTTCTTCCTAAGCATGGTGCAAGGCTAATGTGAGGTTACGGATGTAAACACTTTATCAGCAGCCAAGATAGAGCCATTCATTCATTCATTCACTCATTCATTCATCCATGCACATTTCTGAATGATTTGTTGAGTAAGGTCCTGTGCTAGGCCCTGCTGGATAAGACAACAGAGCCAGTGCCTCCCCTAGTGTGGCTCATAGCCGAGGGAGGGGAACACAGACGGAAACACCGGAGAACCACCGAATGCTGCGTGTGCGAAGTTCCACTGGCTAAGAGAATTTCCTAAAGGACATCCAACACTGCCTCTTTTTTTCTAAATACACTGCCTAAGCATTTTCTAAAATGAGACTTGGAAGTCAAGTAGAAGATGGACCCAAGAAGCAGCAGGGAAAGAGGAAGGGTATACACAGGGGAAACTACACACAGAAAGATTTGGAAGTGAGGGAGAGCAACACTCATTTAGGAGCAGAACATCTTTGTCTGGTTGGGGTCGGGGTGGTTCATTGTGAAGACTGAAGCCTTTGACAGGGCCCTGGACCAAGTGACCATTAAGGAGTCTTGTAACCTCCTGAGTACGTAGTTCTCTGGCCATCCTTAGCTCTCTCTTTGTACGCCCTTGAAAGCAGCTGCAACCTTGGTCCTTTTCTTCCCGTTGAGAATCTGGATCAGAACCTAGGAAAAGGTCTCTACCTTAGGAACATGACCTTTGAGTTTCCTTGCATTAGCTTTTGCATAATCACTCAACTCCCTACCTGAGGTTTTCACCACCAGTTGGGAGGGGGCAGGAGTCGTGGAAAGGATTCAAATCCTCTAAGGCTGCTCAATGATGTCAACCCAATTACCAGAGACAGCGCCATCTGCCAGGTAATGCCCCTCAGGTATCTGCACCTGTGTGGCTCTGGGTGGAATTCTGTGATGTGACACTTGGCTGACAGAAACTCTGCCCCTCCCTACCTCTTTTTTCCCCTCCTGAAAAGGAAGCAGAAACAGCAGTGGGGCAAAGCCCCAGATGTCTTCGAAGAGTTTCGGCAATTACGAGGAAACCCTGCAACTTTGGGTATTCCGATGAATGAGTGTTAAAGGCCAGGCCCGCTGTTGCACTATTATGCAACAGGACGGCTATGCCAATTATTGAGCTCTTATAAATAGCCGCTTCCTCCAGACCAGCCGCTGGACCAGCCCAACCGCTGCTGCCCCAGCCACCCCAGTCCCTCCTCCAGAACCCCTGGGACAGCCTGACAATCCAGCAACTAAGTTAAAGCCCACGTGGAGGGTCTCCGCTGGGCCCCACCCCAGAGCTTTATCTGTTCCAATTGGTTAGAACATACTGATTGTCACACGTTGTAAATATCACCTCTCTGGAAGAAAGACGGCAACTGAGCAGCTGACTTGAGTAAATCCTTGAGTAAATCCGTTCTTCTTTCTGGCCTATCAGTCAATAAAAACTAAAGTTAGTATCATTTTATCAGATACATGGAGTTTTGGGATTTGTTGATTTCTCGGGTTTCTTCCACCCTTAGCATTCTATGATTCTGCAAACTGTGAAGTTCAGATTCCTGTATCTGAGGTCCAGCTAGTTCAAGTATTATCCAGAGGAAGGAGCTGACAGTCCATGTATGGTATGAGTAGGAACTTCTCAAAATCGTAGATTTACAGCACTTTAAAGCTGGGAGCAAATTCAAGTTCACTTCACCCAGCAGGCTTTTTGGAATGTGTTCCTCTGAGCTCAAGAGAGAGCACAGAGGTGGACAAAGAGGGATGGGTGGACAGAGCGCCAAAGTCCTGGCTCCTGCTTCAACGCACGCAGCCACGACCTCTCCTGTCTTATACAGTGGTATTCTTCCCAAGATTTTATTCAAGAAATATTTCTGTGTCTGAGTGGCAAGTTCTAAAATCCTTAAATCCTAGCTCGCTTGGCAACTTGCTCTCACTAGGGCCTTGAGTGGGTTACTTAACATCTTTAAGCCTCAGTTTCCTGATCTGTAAAATGGAGCCAATAGTACGATTTCACAAAGTTTAGAGCACAGCCAAGCATTCAATACAACATCTGGCAAGAACTAGGGGTTTGATATCTATTTGCTGGATCTGAATTCAACCCATGGTTACTTCCTTGAGGTGGAATCCAAGTTCCCAGAGCCACTTTGTAAAGATGGTACACA